GGGCACAGCACAGATAGCCCATTGTGTAGCTTTGTGCCTAATTACAAACAAACAAACATACTATTACGCCCCACCCCCAGTGGGTCAGCGGCATGCCTGCGGGACTTATAACGCTAAACACCGGGTTTCGATGCTCGTGGTGGGCACAGCACAGATAGCCCGTTGTGTTGCATTGTACTTAACTACAAACAAACGTACTATTACGCATTGTACATATATAATCTCGGGTGTTTGTCTGTACTTTATTAAATAAGACAAAAAGTTTTACTCTGTTTACTCTGATCCGTATTTTTAACAATTCAAATTTGGGGTGAATTGGTTTGTAGGAAGAAATTAATATCACAGGAGGTCCCCAGAACACTTGCAATCAATGTATGATTCTGTTCTCTCTAAATTTATATATATATTTATTTTGATAATAAAATTCAAATTTGGGGTGAATTGATTGGTATAAGAAGTTAATATTATACAATAGTACATTGTTACCAGATGAAGGTTCCGTTAAGAGGGCGGAAAGCTCGCAAATAAAAGTATTTCAACGTAGAGAAAAGTCCGTTGACATATTACACAAGGTTTCTCCAACGCTTGCAATTAGCGTGTGATTTTGTTAGGACGTTGTTAATGTTTTAGACACATGTTGATGATATAATTTGAATAACACGGAAAATGGAAGGTATATTTAATTAAGTACAGTACAAGTTGAGAGACTGACTGTCACACAATATTTAATATACGTTATCATTCAGTTCTGGTATAGTAATAGGTTATTTCAAATTATAATTGAAATTGTCTATCATTCAGCAAAACTTAGATATTTAATTAAACTGTTTTACTGGATTTGATGGGCCACGATGAAATAGCAAGTGTTTTTAAAATGTGACATTTATAACTTTTCTTCAATGAATAGAAAAAATCTCCTGTTCCGTATGAGGCATGTAGCTATGCTGCATCAGTAGAAATATGAGGTAGTAGGGATTACATCAAACCTTGGTCCATATAGCAGTCTTTATGAGGTAGTGGGGATTACATCAGATCTTCGTCCATATAGCAGCCTTTATGAGGTAGTAGGGATTACATCAGATCTTCGTCCATATATCAGCCTTTATGAGGTAGTAGGGATTACATCAGATCTTCGTCCATATAGCAGTCTTTATGAGGTAGTAGGGATTACACCAGATCTTCGTCCATATAGCAGTCTTTATGACGTAGTGAGGATTACATCAGATCTTCGTCCATATAGCAGCCTTTATGAGGTAGTAGGGATTACATCAGATCTTCGTCCATATACCAGCATTTATGAGGTAGTAGGGATTACATCAGATCTTCGTCCTTATAGCAGTCTTTATGAGGTAGTAGGGATTGCATCAGATCTTCGTCCATATAGCAGTCTTTATGAGGTAGTAGGAAGTACATCAAATATTCGTCCATATAGTAGTCTTTATGAGGTAGTAGGGATTGCATCAGATCTTCGTCCGTATAGCAGTCTTTATGAGGTAGTAAGGAATTACATTAGAGAGTTTGTTTGTTTGTAGTTAAGCACAAAGCTACACAATGGACTATCTGTGCTCTGCCCACCTCGGGTATCGAAACCCGGTTTCTAGTTTCTGTGGGGCATGTTAGAGAGACGTTACGTTATAATAAGAATAAAGATGTCATCAGGAAGAGGAAAGAAAAAAATAAAATGTAACATGACAGAACTTGATTACGTGTCTTTTCCTCATAGCTTGGTGAAATGACGTCACTGAATGTGGTCTTGAACCATAAAACAGACTTACAAAGTTTGAAAGTCGTCTGAATATAATTAGTTAGGAATATTTATAAATGTTTCATAAGTTATAGCAGCCATTTAGGAGGTGTGCGTTTTTAAACAACAGGAGGTCGAATGTTGACCGCAAATCTAAAAATAAAGATTCTGGAACAGTTTCAACTACAAACTGCACAATGAAATGGTGTGGTAATCACCACGGCTTAAAATCGAACACGAAACCTTTTGTACTCCAAACTAATGCTCTTGTAACTGAGCTAAATGTTCTAATCCACGAGAAATTCTTAATAAATTCCATTTGTTACAGCTCGATCTACCACAGTCATTCATCTCTGCTGTTCGACATTGCTTTCAGAAAAGTATACGAAAAGTAAACATTTGTTAGAGACCTTGATGAGAAGGGCTAATTAACATCATTTTTATGACAGTGTATATTCTGCTCTTACACTTCAATGTATAATTCATGGATTAAAATTGCTTGATGCTCGCAGTTTTTATGATACGTGATTCAACCAATCAGAGAAACGCTCCAGAACAGCGGGAGTTTGTTGTAAGTAGTACGGGCTGTAAATGTTCTTAAAACTTTTATATAATTGATACTTGAAACTGTCGGTACTTGGCGAAACTCCTCAATTTTGGTAAAACTTTTAATCTTTTTCCTTGCATAATTATTATTGAATCTTGATCAGCAAATAGTTTTTAAGTATGATCAACAGAGTCTTAAAGTACCTTTCCTTAGTTGCTGTTGAAATCCTACCGTTAATTGCATATTCTACAGATTATTAATACTGACAGGAAGCTACTTTACACCACTACTTACAGAATTACGTTACCTTTAGAAAATCGTCAAAGATAGTCTTAAGGTTCTTAAGTTTCCACTTAAATTTTTATGTCGTTTCTTATAATTGAAAGGATGGCATTTACTTTCTCTCTGACCCTTCTCTTCTGAAAACCTTCTGACTCTCCTGTTGAAAAACCCTCTTAACCATGTTATATGCAACCCGCTTGGTCCTTTGTTATGAAACTCTCTTGAGTCTGCTGTCACAAGGTACTCTCATGACTCTCTTGTTATGGAACTCTAATCTTTCTGCTGTTGTGGAACTCTCCTGATCCTACTGTAGTGGAACCCTCTTGGTCCTATTGTTGTGAAACCCTCTTGGTCCTGCTGTTGTGAAACCCTCCTGATCCTGCTGTTGTGAAACCATCCTGATCCTCTGTTGTGAAACCCTGCTGATCCTGCTGTTGTGAAACCCTGCTGATCCTGCTGTTGTGAAACCCTGCTGATCCTGCTGTTGTGAAACCCTCCTCATCCTGCTGTTGTGAAACCCTCCTCATCCTGCTGTTGTGAAACCCTCCTCATCCTGCTGTTGTGAAACCCTCC